ATCGCGAGCCCAGTGAACTGAGGAGCTCTATGACAAATATTAACTTAACATTCAGTTCTGTGTGACATGGCAGAAAAAGCAAAAGTTCATATTATAGTGAACACATGCTGCACTGCGAATATATTGCCCCAAAAAAAGCAAAAGGGTTTATAGAATCATCTACAAAGTCTCATCCTACAGCAGACCACTCAAAAATCCATTTAGCCCGTAACAACATTATATGTGGTTCATTGGTATCAAAGCTATCAGTTTTCTGCACTCCCACATGTATGCATACAGGGAGTTTCTTTTCAATTTTACATAGTTCGGAGCAAATGCTAATTTATCCATATATTGGACAAAAGTGTTCCAATGAATGCCAATCTTATCAATATATTTTTAAATTATTATTGTGCAGACACCATAATTATAAGTATATTTGAAAAACGAATATGTATTGCGTTTAGTCTGTTATTTGTAAGGTCCAGGAGGAGATGTGACAGACAATGTGGCATGTGGATGGTGGATGGATAAACGTGGAAATGAATCGGTAAAGCTCGGTCGGAAATTTTGATAGGTGTTGGTTGATATAAAGTCTCTAATATCAGTTTAATACTTTCTGCCCTTTAAGGAACACCCTTTCGCATACTATTGTTCACGTATTGCAGCTCACTATGTCAACATTTGTGCAAAACTCAATGTTTTTATCGTACTGGCTAATAATGGCAGGATGGATGAGTGTATTTCTGCGACCATTGCTGTCTATTAAAGCTGTACCCATAAACAATTTCAGCATGCTTCCGAGATACTCGAGAAGCAACGTTAATGTGCAGAAATGTGCTAATTACGTGTGCGTTTAGTTTCCTGGCTGCTGCTCTTCAAAGCAAAATAGCAAATTCTGAAACATACCAAAATGTGCAGCACATGTGGTATTAAATTTTAAGGCAAGCTTGTTACATTTTCTCCTTTGTTGCATTCTTACATGCTCACGCATGTCTGATTGAGTGTGTAGCTTTTACGATTTCAGCTTTGGATGTCTTCCCGTCACTGCAGGGAGCGCAGCAACGTGAGGAAATCTGAGGCGAAATGCCGCGCCGTTGACATTTCTCTAGCTGTCAGAGTACATTATTGCCGCCCATTTCGAGCTCAACATCAATAAAGTACAACGTACACTGCCACTGCCAAGGGCGTACGCAGGGGGTGGGGGCCTTTCTAAAAAAATGTCTCAACATGTAGTCGACTATACAGTTATTATTATGGCGTATTATTTCGCCTTAAAATGGAACTGAGCTCGATTTGTTGAAGTTTTTTTATTGATCATATGCATAAATTATTATTTAAGCGCATCGTGTATTATTTAATCAAAATTTTAATTTTTTGACCCTCTTCTTTGATAAAAGCTGCCCACGCCCTTGGCTATCTGCTAGTCCAGACCTAATTTAATTCGCAATATTTAATCAAAATAATAATTTTTTGGCTCCCCCTTTAGAAAAAGCTGCGTACGCCCTTGCCCATTGCTCTAAGATTTCGAGCTGCCTTTTCATTTGTCAGGCGCTTGTAGTTGTAATTGAGGTACTGATTATGAGAGTTCGTAATATACTTGTAATGACCCAAGGATTGGAATGCGTGTAACATACTCGTAGTTTGTGGGAGTCGTTAAACATAACACAAACATATTGGTTATAAATAGATGATTGCATTCAATTTTTATTACGAATGCAATGTCGCAACAAGCAACATAACAGACTGGATAACAAAATGAACGATTAAGGGTACTTTAATAGGGGTTCAGAAATTAAAGCTGGAATGTATTCATATCATATTTTTAGTGATAGAAAAAGGGAATCAAATGAATAGCTAAGTCAAAATTATTAATTAGAAAGCGGGCAAGGTCGCAGAGAGCTGTTAAAGTTTAATAAATATATTTCTTCATACTATATTAGTATAGTTGATATTAATTAAATATATTTCATAATGGGAGTACCGATCAAGAACCAACAAATTATCCTCATTTAAAAGCTATTATATTTATCAAACAAAAATTAAATATATTGGTTAAATGACTTCTTAAAAATGAAATAAAATGATTCGATTCAAGATGTATGGAGCTTATTTCTCCAACGTTATACATTTTTAGTGCGAAATCGTTGAAAATAAATTTTGTGTAGCTCACACAAGAAACAAGAACCAAAGTATTCATCCTGCTACTTATTTACCGAAACATTCATTGAAAGAGTTAGAGTTCATCCCCTTTGTTACTGCAGTGTCGTCTTCAAAATTTGTAACTAAAATGGAATGTATTCTAATGCTATTAGTTTCAAGTTCTCATCCTCAAACCAAAAACCAAAACCATTACAAACTTAGTGCGAACTAAAATGTTGTTGTCCAAGGCAGTAATTACAATACTCAGAGACTAAGGTCATAACTTAATTAAGCTGACATTTCACTTTTAATTTTTGTTTCAGTATTTTGCATCCTCTGATATGTCGGCAAGGGAAATTCTTGCGGCAGATTTAAGCAAAAACAGCAAAGTTTCTTCTCTAACCGATTGCATAGCCGCACTAAAAAGTTTGCAATTTTTGCTCTAACTTCGTTCTAACTCGGACTTGGTCTGCAGTCGCTTGTAAATTAAACGCATTAATACTTGTCTACTTTACGACTTTTCTGCATTTTCGCAACAAATACGGAACGTACACTAACAGGTGAAAATCACTTTTGGGTCCATCACATTTACAATTTTTTTTAAGAATATTTAAACCCTGTTTATATTGTTTGCATCAGGCGCAGATGGCTTTCATTGTCATAACTTTTTTATAGAAGCAATCTTAATGCATGAAACATAATAAAGAAATAAAAAAAAACCATTGAAAATTGAAAATGTGAGTTTATATTAAATTCGTGAAATTGGAAACATTTTTTTGGCAGGTTGTATGGGAAAATTTACAAAAGCTTCAATGTTCTGATAGATGTGCCACTTCATGTTGTTGAAAAACTAATTTCTAGAGTCCTTTTTTTTATTAAAGGGTCGTTCCTTTTATGCAAGTAAGGTATGAAAACTGTTATGAACTGTAATAAAAAGTTGTTTAAAATATTTATGCAGAAATACAAGCTGCGCTGTTAACAGTTTATAGTAAGTATATAGTATGTATTTATTTTATTGTGTTCAAAGCTCATCGATTTTCTTTTTGAAACATGATATTTCTATATTCTGATATTTTAAAGAAGGATAGAATTAAAAATACTTTAAAATTTAATGATATTTGAGAAATGATTGAAATTCTGTTTTTTAAATTATTAACTAAATCGATATTTTCTGTAAAACCCCAAGTAACTCGTTCATGTACACAATTCTAATAAACTACAAGTACTTCTGATATGTTTACAACTATATAACGCTTAAGAGGGCAAATATTATATTTAAATCAATTATCAAAGAAAAACATACACATGGGCGAGCATTATTACCCAGGTCTGAATGCCTTTCATGTTAATACTAACCAATTAGTGTATTTACGGCAAATTAAATCGTAAGTCATGTGTTCATTCGGAGTGTTAGTAAGATGAAAACATCGACGTCGATATGCAGACAAATAAAGTTTATTAGAAACTATTTTTAAAACTCAGCAGTGGGCTTTGTAAAGTTGGTTGCAAACTCTTTTTTCTCATTTCAATTTGAATTTTTTTGAATTTTTAGAAACCTAAAAAAAAATTCCATATACCAGAAATAATCGACAAATGTTAAAAGAGAATAAGAATTTTTTTTATTGATTTATTGTTTTTTTTTTTTGTTTTATTGGAAATGCAAATGTAGCTTCGCTTTTTAGCCAGTTAACGCTTTAACAACCTAAAATGTTAAGCCTAGAATATGCATTATTTTTATACCCTGTACCCGTAGGGTAAAAAGGGTATATTAGGTTTGTGCAAAGTATGTAACATGCAGAAGGAAGAATCTCCGACCCCATAAAGTATATATATTCTGAATCAGCATGACGAGAGAAATCGATCTAGACATGTCCGTCCGTACGTCCGTCTGTCCGTCTGGTTCATCCAGACAAGGATCTCAGAAACTATAAAAGCTAGAATAACCAAAGTTGGCATCCAGATTCTCCTAGGTCCGAGAAAGGACGGGTTTATTTTTTTTTTTAATTTTTGCCCCCCGTTCCCCCGCTACAGAATTTCGTCAATAGCGTCCAAATTTCAAATGCTACCTAAACCAAACATTGCACACATAATTAATATATAATTATCTATTGTTGTTTAATTTTAATTTTAATTTTTGTTTGTTTGTGTTTTGTTTTTGTTATTCAATTCGGTCAATTCTAAGAAAAGTTATTAGCTATGGGCGCATATACCTCAATGTCGGAAGTTTACCTGGGAACAGGGTATTTCACTGTCGGGCTTGCTCGACTGTAGCGTTCTCTCTTGTTTTCCTCTGTATACAGCTCGACAAAGAGAGGTGCACAAATGCTTCTGTAAATACGCATGTGGCGGAAAGGCACGTTGGAATTTTCAATGTAAACTTGATGTATGTACGTATATGTATGTACTCGTATGTTTGTATGTAAGGGCATGTCTATGTTTATGTGTAAAAGGGCAACACAACTACTGGCGAACATATTTGCATACTGAAATGGTACAACAGGGAATTTGTTGATTCAATTGCCGGTGCGATGCTGACAGTTGAAAAGGAAAAATATACGAGTATATACAAGTAGAGTAGAGTATACAGTGTGTATGTGCGTACAAAAGTTTGAAATGGTTAAACTCTACGACTCGTAGTTGACAGCAATTGACCGGAAATTAAGCGAAAGTCAAAAAGCTGCGAAGGAAATGCGGTCGATTTCAATGACCCGTATAATGCAAGGAAATGAAAACGGACGTAATTGGATTATAGTAAGTCCTGTTTTAGTTTTACAATAGAATTTACTAAATCGTTTGTAAAAATTCACAATTTAATTTCTTATATATTTAGTATATATATATATATTACTCGATGCTTATACTGAACATACGCGAAATTGTTATGGCAACGAGCTGGGCTCTGAAATTATAATTGGTATTCCTGCATTAACCCCTTCGTCTGGCTCTTGGGGTGATGGATTCTCAGAAAGCTGTTCACAGCTGCCGTTGATGCCATGGCCTTCTTTTTCCGCATTCGCTCCCACTCCCACTCGCACTTCCGTTGTATCGGACAGTGCAGCTGCACCTGCGGATAGCACAAAAAATTAAACTTTTAACATTGCAGAAATATCAGCTTATTGGTATACAAGTATGTGTAAGTTACCTGAACTGGCGGCTATTTTTTTGCATTTAATTTGCTGTTCCTCCTCTTCCGTGATGGTCGAGAAATTCGTCAAGCGCTGGGAGGTTATCAATGGACTGGCGGCAAGAAGTCGCCGCGTCTGACGCGTCTTCCCTTCTGGCGCTTTAAGCGTCTGAGATTTTTTCGTTTTCTGCGGTGCGGTGACTATCACAATGGGCTTTGTGGGAACAGCAAGCTGTGTTAAAAAAACGATTCGACTGTGTGTTTGGGGCTTTGGGCCTACAAGCCTCACACTCACCGACACCGGTAGGGCCTCCTCGGCTCGCTGGTCACGATATTCCTGGTACTGTGATATCACACATAGCAAACAGTAGAGCTGAGCGGTAGGTTGTGGGATGCGTTTGGGTTAGTTGTGTGGAGCGAGTGTAAGCATTTAACGTGAAAGGTCAATCAAGCTTGTACTCACATTAAGACAGAGTATGAAGAAGTCTATGGTGAAAATGAAACCCACAATCGGATCAAAAACGACTCGTTTCGACACAGTCAGATGTAAAAGGTGGCCGCATTCAATGAGCAAATCGCACAGCATGAAAAGAATCCACGGTAACAGAAATTGGCGTTTGTTCTGTGGGATTTTTCGCACAAGTTGGAATGAGTTTAAAGATTTTCGTTTAAGTCTACCAATGGGCAACGTATTTTGGCAAACCCAAGTTTATTTATGTAGATTACTTTACTTTCCAAAAAACGCAAATATGGAAATGTATTTCCATTAAATGAAACTGAGGAATATTATTACAAATTATGTTATTTTCTGATTGCCACACTGTGTAAGCCCATTTACTCAGAAATCACTTCATCATATTCAACTAATCTCGATCGCCTAGATTTTATATTCGCACTAACATTTAATAACAAGATATCTACTTCAACTCAAATCTTTATTTTCTATATTATTACTAATTATGTTATTTTCTGATTGCCACACCTTGTAAGCCCATTTACTCAGAAATCACTTCATCATATTCAACTAATCTCGATCGCCTAGATTTTATATTCGCACTAACATTTAATAACAAGATATCTACTTCAACTCAAATCTTTATTTTCTACCAATCGTCTCGACCTGCTGCATCATCTACACTTTTATATTTGCAGTGATATATCATCAACATGCTTCTTTCTTGAATCTAAAATCCAGCAATCTTTCTACTTATCATCTTGATCCGCCACATCATCTAGACTTTCATATTCGCACTGAAATTCGCTAAATATTGGCAAAATGATAACAACCTGTTTTCCTAGAGTTGTAATCGTCTCGTAATGAAAGTTATCAGCTGTGAGAACCGTATTTTCATCTCTCTTGATAAACGGCATTATAGGTTTCAGTGGCGCCTTTATAGAGTTGAGCAGAAAATATGTAGCCTTACGGAATCTGGATGCCAGCTCATAAACATGGGCAGTCTTTTCGGTCCACACCGAGACCATTGTGAAGGGTACGTCCTCCCGATTGGCCAATTTGATAAGTTCATTAAAGTGCCGAAAACTGTTAAGCGTAATAATGCCTGTTGGCTTCTTGCCAAAGTAGAATTGTGGAAAATCGCATACTATTATTGGGGAGCCCGGTATCATATGGCCATCGTTCTTCTTCACATCGCTCTCATCGAACTCTTCCATACAAATCGTTTTCGGTCGCAGTCGTTCTATTAGGTTAAGCGATTTTATAAAATTCGGATGTGCCACTACGCGCTTATCCATTGGCCGCATACGGATCTTGATCTGTTCAATAAGGGGCTCGAGCATGGATTCTTGGACAATTATGCTGGCCACCCGACCCTTGCCCAGCGGATGTACCAAATTGTCCGCTACTATATCAGCGACATTATTGATGCTGCCATCTTCGAATAGAACAATTAGTTTCGGTGTCATCCACACTTCATGGCTGCCATCCGCTGGATACATGATAATTCGACTCTTTTTAAAGTATTCGTAAATATCGTTGACATCTTCGGGTCTAATGAACACATAATCCGGATCGATTGGACCGTCTTCATTGTCAGGATCAGAGTCGATGTTAAAACGTAAGTGTTTCGGAATGTTAAACATATTTTGAGTTTATTTTTTACATACAATTTTGTCTCTCAAATTTAAAACCTGTATAATTTTTAAAGCAAATTTCTCCAAAGTATTTGATACATATATTTTGGATTCCTTTTTAGTTTGTGTCATATCCTTATTTCTGTTTTTGTTCAATTCCACTATGAGCATATTCTATCTTGCGCAAATCAGAGTGAAAAAACCTTTAAAATTATGCTTAACATAATATTAATTAAAAAGGCCTAATATTTATTTGCAGAATTGAGATTTTGTTTTGGATTCCTTTACACTTTGTGGCATATTTTATATCCTTATTTATATTGTTGTTAAATCACACTTTTTAGGGCATCTTCTATCTTGCACAAATCAGAGTCAGAAAACGAATAAAATTATGCTTGACATAATATTAATTAAATAGGCCTAATATTTATTTGCACAATTGAGATTTTGTTTTGCATTCCTTTGCAGTTTGTGGTATATTTTATATCCTTCTTTATGTTATTGTTAAATCCCAATTAAAATTTTGCTTCACATAACATTAATTTAATGGCCTAATTTTTATATGTAGCTTTAAGATTTTTTTTTCCACCAATCCTTCTTACTCTTCAACTTTACATTACAGATATATGCGTAGGAATAAATGAATTAATTCATTGGGTTTCTCAAAATACGTATGCTATCTGATGGAGTCATAACATCACTCACATGTCGCAATCCCACAATAAGCAATATGGAGGAGAGCATCATTAGCACGGAGCAAAATAAAAATAAAATGTTGAATATCACAGTAACTGCAAGAAATAATGGCAGTAATCAAATATGGATAGGACCAAAGGCACAGGTTGGCAAAACTTCGCATCTCACCCACGGTAACATCCCCCTTCTCAAGGATGCTCTCACCCAGCGGTTGCTCACGACGCCCGAGAAGAAATTCCTGCTCATCTTTCAGATAAAAGAAAAGCATTACGGTTGAGAAGCCAAAATATGTCTGTAATAAGACGTAATAAGAGGGCAACAAAAACATGTAAACAATAAATGTGCTCTGCATGTAAAGGGAACGCAATTGAGTCTATTTCTTATTTTTGTTCCACAATGAAGCTAATGATGAAAAATGGTAAGTGTATATTACGTGGCTCGGCCTAATTAACTTTTAATCTATGCAAAACGAATGCGAAAAGACGGTATCGAGAGGAGAAAATGAAACAAACAGCTTACCAGTGTGTAGAAAGCAGCGGCAAAGCTGCCATTGCGCACATTCTTCCAAAAGCAGCAGGATTCCAAAATGGCCATGCCGCACTATTCAAATCATCATGTCGTGAACTCTGTGTGGATAGACACTCCACAGAAGCAAACACACACAAACACACACGCACAGACACGCACAGACACTTTCGCTTTATGGAGAACCCGGTCTTTGCCACACAGCTGGCGGCACTTTATCCTTGCCAGCGAAATAGAAACATTACCGCTTTGTGTTGTTTTTACAATATTTATTCAAGTCTCTCAGTCCGTGTCTGTTGCTTGAGTTTTGTTTTTTTTACAGTTCCTTTTTTTTTTAGATATTTTATTAAATGCAGTGGCTTGTTAGAAGTGCTTCCTTATCTTTGGACACTTAATTTCGAATGTGGCGCGCACATATTTATGACACTGATTTATGTGGCATTGACATTGCCGCGTAGACGCTTTTCTTGTTTGGCAGAAAGTCGAAAGACATCCTAATAGCACCGCATGACCGTCACAGCTGAAAGACTCGCCAAGACTGTCGTATACATAGGATGAAATTGTGGTGCTTCCTTAGCCGCTTCCTTTTCGAACAATAGCTTTTATGAATGAAAGTTCGAATGGCACATGCGCTGTGGCTGACTGTGCAACATATGCAACAGGCGGTTGAAACTTTGTGACAGAAACTATTAAAACGCACACTGCGCGCTTCATTAAAGCCGCAGCCAGTATAGAAGTCGGTTGGTTATTGGAGAAAGTCAAGTGCCAACGGGTCGTATGCGTAAGCTCCAATTGAGTGGATGCAGCACTTTGCGTTCGCATGTGCCACAAACTGCTGCCATTTAATTATATTAGCCACTCCGATTCAATGCATTTGGCTTAATTAGACAAACGACTTTGTGGATGAGACACTATGTTGACGCAGGGGCAAGCATGCCAATAGCCGCTGGCTTGGCTGGTTACTTAAAAGTCAATTAACCTGACGTACTCGACTTGCTTGCAATGACTCGCACCATTTTAATTAATGGTCGTCATTTCAGAGCCTCACTGCTAATATCCTGGGGGGGGGGGGGGGCAATGTGGGAGTTTCGTTGATGTTTTCGCGCTCCACTTGCTGCCAAAACGATTAGGAAAGTCGCTGGTAATGCCAGCCAGACCATGGCACAACGGACACTACGGCGCCAGGAAGTACCAATGCGATTTAGCAAAACCAACGAAGAGAAAATTTGATGGAATGAAAGTTAAATTCTTTCTGTTTACAAGTATTGCGATTCAACGGCAATAAAGTTCAGATTCTGCCAAATATAAATGGTGACGGCTCTTAATTCAAATCAATAGACTGCGAAAGGTAGGAAAAATAAGACTAATTAAATGTCAGTTACGATGTGTAGATTGTTTATCAGAGACAATGGGAAATGTCATAAATTATAATAAGTATACAAGCAAATTCGACTAATGACAACTAATTTATTAATTCATGAAATTTACTAAAAAAAAAAGTATATAGACAAGTGCATGCCAGATTTAGAATTTTCTATTGAATTTTCTTTCTGTCAGATTAGCTGCTGGCAGAGCCAATAACTCTCCTCACAGCAAGATATCCAAGATTCAAGTGTTTGTAAACAGTTCTGTAAAGCTAATAAGTATAAGGAAATCTGTAGTTTAAAGGATCGACTTGGCGGGGAAATAGTCGTTTATTAAATATCGTAAAGTCTTAAAAGCATATACATACAAGTATATATGCAATAGATTCTACGAAAATGGCTGAGCGAGGTAGTTTTGAAGATAATGCTGAATCAAAAGATAATAATGGCACCCAAAAGAAAAAAAAACATGAGGTCAAATATGGTGACTTGATGACCACTAGTGGGGCCGCCCTAGCACCTCTGCCTGCACACGTACGGGAATCGTTGCAACACTCCTTTGCCGACATCTCACAGTTCCTCGATTTTGACGATCTGTTGCCACTTATCGGTGAATTTGGCGCCTATCAGAAGCTTCTATTCCTGCTAATGATACCATTCTGTTTTATTGCTGCATTCATTTATTTGGGTCAGATATTTATGACGTTGCCGCCCAAGAATCATTACTGCCACGTATTTGAGCTGCATACGATAAAGACGGAGGAGGAACGGAAGGCTCTCTCCATACCCAAAGAAGCCGACGGAAGCTATAGCCAATGCAAGGTGTACGATGCTAACTGGACGCATATACGTTCGGATGTAAATCGTCCCAACAAGGCCAACACTTCCTGGCCAGTAATACCCTGTCCGGGTAAATATGTTTATAACATAGAAGAGGAGCCATTCTTCACAGCCACCATGCAGTTTCATTGGGTCTGTGAGAATCGAATCTATGCTACATATTCGCAAATGGCCTTCTTTCTGGGCTGTGTTGTGGGCAGCTTATGGTTTGGCTGGTTTGGAGATCGTTGCGGGCGTCTGGCGGCTGTGGTTAGCAGCTGCGCCATTGCCATTGTCGGTAGCTTTATCACCTCATTGTCCAATGAATTTAGCTCATTTGCAACGGCACGTTTCATAGTTGGCCTATCGTTTGATACTTGCTTCACCATGATTTACATATTGGGTAAGGTATGAAGTCTTTAAAGAAAATTAGACAAAAATTTACGAAATTCTATCAAATCGTCTTTAAAATAAGTGTACCCGTAACTAAAAGCAGGTTACACCCTAATTTTTTGGAGTTTCTTTTTAATAATTTTAAGTAAACTTTTGACTTTGAGGAAAATAATTATTATTATTATACATAAATATGAAATATTAATAATTAACTGAAGTTAACTTATAAACAAATTTTTATCTTGCAGTGCTTGAGTATGTTGGACCCAAATATCGAACGTTTGTGGCCAACATGTCCTTGGCCTTGTTTTATTCACCCTTCACCTGTGCAATGCCTTGGCTTGCCCTGCTCTGTGGACATTGGAAAAGGTTTTCGTTACTTATGTCGTTTCCCATTATATTGGCACTGTTCTCGTACTGCATTTTACCAGAATCTGCACGGTAAGCAATAATAGTATATATATAATGATATAGACTGGCAACTGTAATCACCAGCTGGTTGGTGTCTGTGGGCCAGGCAGAAGAGGCCATCAAGATCTTGAGACGTGTGGCCCAAGTGAATAAAAAGACTGTACAGCCTTCGGTTTTTGACCATTTTCGCAATAGCTGCAGGGTTTTCTACAAAGAGGAGATTGATGGCCGAAACTTTACGGTGTTCTCGACTTTCAGGCGGCATCGGCTTTGTCGGCACATGCTGCTGATGAGTCTCATTTGGATGGCGATGTCACTGCTCTATGATGGACATGTGCGGGCGGGTAGTGTATTGGACAATAATGTCCTTATTATCTTCACAATAGCCTGCGCCACAGAGATACCCGGAAATTTGCTGCTCATTCTTACTCTGGATCGCGTGGGGCGTCGCTGGTCCTCCTTTATATCAACCATATGCTCGGGCATATTTAGTCTGATAGCTGCCAAGCTAAGTAGCGCCTCGAGTATGATTGTGGCTGCTATAGTTGGGCGCTTTTTTGCCAACATCAGCTACAACATTGGCCTACAGTGGGCCGCTGAGGTGCTGCCTACGGTGGTGAGAGCTCAAGGTGTCGCCTTTATACACACTCTTGGTTTTATGGCTATGATGACGTCACCGCCCATCATTTATTTATCGCAAGTCTCAATGTCGTTGATGCTTAGCATACTGGGCTGCGTGGGCATTGTGGCCGGAATCCTCACTCTGCTGCTTCCCGAGACGCTGTATCAGGACTTGCCACAAACTCTTAGCGATGGCGCTGATTTTGGCAAGGAGCAGAGAATCTGGCACGTGCCCTGCTGTGGGCCGGGCTCGCACCGCCACCGCCGACCGAGACGCATCTGGCACACCGGCTCATCGCTGCGTACGTTGTCGCGGGATGAGTACCGATCGAAGAAGCTGCATCGTAATGCCATACGGATACGGGCTTCGAGAGCATCTGCGTCTAATCGCACCTCCATTCCTGTACGTACGGACGAATCGATCGAAGATGAAATCGAGGAGGTTCACCAATCATATAAATACGATAACCATTCTAAAATATGATAAAACGGCTAACAAAATAATATAGTATATTATCTGTGTTTATGTAAAACAATTTTAGAACTTCATAAAAATGTTCATCATATACCTATATTGTAAGCAAAGTTAAATACCATTAAAAGTCAGGTTTTTTGATATAGACTGTATTAGTCTTAAAGGGTAATGTATATTTTGAACTGCTTTTTTCAGAGAGAGAACGAGAAATAGAACACAAATTACTGGTGATCTCTTTTTCTTAAAAAAGACATACAATGCTATGAAATACCTGTAAATATGCTAGGTAATAAATATGCCTTCCGAAAGTACCGTTCTCATCGTGTGTTAATATTAGAACGCAATTTAAAAACCATTTTTTGCTGTGAATTAGGAAAAACAACGAGACATTTTTTAACCAAACATTTGATGCACTTGTTTAATTTTATATTAGATTAGGAAATAATGTGACCATTTATCATATTTTTATATCTTCTATCCATATTTATTCATTTGCTATTCTACAATTATCATTACTTTCTCATTAGGCAGCCCCCGCCACAGCGCGAAATGTGAATTCGTTCCGGCGGATGCATGTTAGTGGGCCTCTTTGCATGATCGGTGGCAGCTTTAGTTGCTCGCTGTTCGTACTGCTCTCGACTCCAATGATTGCTAAGGTTGTTGTAGGCGTTTGCTTCGCATATTTAGTGGTAAACTTATTCTTCTTGAGGTTGCAAGAGCCTACAAAAGATTTCCCCGATGATGAGGAACATTTTAATGCGACCTTGTCCAACATTTTGAAGCCCCGCTCACCAGGCAGCAAAGGGCATGACGAGGTTCGTGACTTTCTATTATTGGAACTGAAGCGGCTGGGCTTTGATACCCATCGAGATGAGTTCGTTGATGAAATTACGTTTACGAACGTTATGGGAGTCATGAATCTGGGGTCACCAAATTATTTAATGCTCACCTGCCACTATGATACCCAACGAAAGCGAGGAGACAACTTTGTGGCTGCCACAGACGCTGCTGTTTCGTGTGCTATGTTGCTTAATATGGCCAAAACCTTGGGTCCGTACCTACGTGAGGTGTTCAAAAATCGCGGCGATATTGGTTTAGTGGTAAGTAAGAAGATGGAAGCAATATGATCCCAACGTAGTATACTTAACCTTTTCGCATTTAGCTAGTTTTCTTTGATGGCCATGATTTATTGGAACTTAGTGTGGATGGCGAAAATGGTTTGTATGGTTCGCGTCGTTTTACTGAGAGCGAGCCTCTGCCGCTTGAAAATATAGTAAGTAGAATATAAATTGCTGTAAACACCATCAACTTATATACATAGTTATTAATGTGTATCTACAGGAAGTGATGATTGCTCTCAACTTGATTGGCGCCCCAAACCAATCCTTCAGAAGCCATCATGAGAGTACATTTAGCTTGCATAAAATGATGGCTGAAATAGAAGAGGCTTTGATAGCAGAGGGCCATATGCAAAAAAATCACAAGCTGTTCCATATAGTACAGGATCACAATAGGGACTTTGAGGACGATCATTATCAGTTTCTTAATGAAGGTAGGTCCTCAATATACTTGTATTAACTAAATAAATATAATGGGCAAATTTCTTTGGATAGGCGTGCCTGTAATGCATCTGGTGCCCCATACTTACCCAAAAGTCTGGAATACTGTGGATGATAATGCTGAGAATCTGCACTGGCCAACAATTCAAAATATGAATGCAATCCTTCGTCGATTTGTCCATCAATATATTGAAAATCACGATGACTACGTTTCCTTCCGGGGTGATTAATATTTATATTTGTCATAATTGTCGAATTCCTAATAAAAATGTAAAATGTTACATTTTCCATTTTTTGTTCCTGTTTTTTTAACTAACAGTTTCATCTTTAGTCTGTTTAGGGGTACATATATATATATTGTCAGAAATAAAAAGTGGAATATAAAACTGATCAACATGCTGCATAAATAGTTTAAATGCCCACTGAAAACTTTTTAAATCGCCCTCGTATAACAATATTTCAATTGACGATAGCTGTCTCAAAAGCTCAATAGGCGTTCAGTTGCCGTTACACTACCAATATGCGCTCAAAGCTTCATCAGAAGAAAATAAATAAATACATACGTATGTATGTATGTATTTGTAAATAAGGCTAAGCTCTCGCATAGTTTGTTTGCGCGCCAAAGAGACGAGGCACAAAGAAACAATTTAACAGCTGCACGGAACAAGCTTAAACAATCCAAAAAAAAAAACGTACGCATTTTATTGTTTAACACATCGAGATCAGATAGTGCATATAACATACTCATGTATGTATATACATACATATGTATAAGCGCTCTTTCTGAACCCAAACGCGACACGACTTGATTGTTTCAGTGCTTCACCAGATATCGACGCATTCAGTCCACAAACAATGCCGTCGAAGTCGCTGTTACTGCTGCTGCTGTCAAGCCTACTCTTTATTTGGCTGATAGTTGGCGCTGATTCCGTTCAGTCAAACGTAAGAAAAGCCCCGATGTTGACAAAATGTTGACTCACCGACTGTGGTAATTAAACTTTATCAGTTACAGCCCCATTGGAGCGACGATGAGAGCCATTTTAATAGAACACTGAGCAATATTTTGGTCCCACGCGTCGTTGGCAGCCAGGGCCACCAGCAGGTCCGTAATTACCTCATACAGACGCTTAGCGACCTTGGTTTCAAAACGGACGTAGACGAATTCAAGCAACGAGTTCCAATTTTTGGGGACCTCACCTTCACCAATGTGCTGGGCTGCATCAATCCGCAGGCGAAGAATTTTCTGGCGCTCTCATGTCACTATGACAGCAAATACTTCCCCAACGATCCTGGTTTTGTGGGTGCTACAGATTCGGCTGTTCCCTGTGCTATTTTATTAAACACGGCCAAAACCTTGAACAGCTATTTGACGGCACAATTTCAAAATCGCACCGATCTGGGTTTGATGGTAAGTCGAATTATTGAATTAATTCAAAATATGGTTGAGCTTATCTTTTTTCACATTAGCTGATATTTTTTGATGGCGAGGAAGCTTTCAAAGATTGGACTAACAGTGACTCAGTGTATGGCTCGAGGCATTTGGCTACCAAACTGGCACGCTCGCGCACCGGTCCAAGTGTTGGCGGACAAACTCCTCGCACCATAGATCGCATCGTGAGTAATGGGCGAACATTTGAAATGCAGATGCACTAACGATGACTCTTGTAGGAAGTGCTCGTGCTGTTGGATTTAATAGGCGCACCCAATCCGAAATTCAGCAGTTTCTATGAGAACACACACGCACTGCACCGTAGTCTGGTGGAGATTGAGCAAAGGCTGCGCTCTAGTGGTCAACTGGAGGGCAACAACAACATGTTTCTGAACCGACCCTCGGGTGGCTTTGTTGATGACGATCATCGTCCATTTTTGGAGGAAAGTAAGTGCCATCTTTGATCATTATAATCAGAATAGTTGTCTTAATATCTCTAACTTAGATGTGCCCATATTGCACTTGATTGCAACTCCGTTCCCAGACGTCTGGCATACGCCTCGGGATAATGCCGCCAACTTGCATTGGCCTAGCATTCGCAATTTTAACCGCATTTTCCGCCTCTTTGTCTACGAGTACGTGCGTCTGCACAAACAACCTGTAAACTTACGTTACTATCGGGCATAGGCTTCATTTCCTTGTGGCTTAAATTTATTGTAATTGTAAAGTATCTGTTTGTTAATAAAAATGTTCTAGCTAAGGCAACTGCAATTTTATTTAGCGACGTTTACGACCGGCCGCTGCCTTCTTGCCAGGCGCACGTTGGCCCCGATTTCCCTTTGGCTTTTTGCCCACTGCCTTGCGACTTCCCTTTCCCTTCTTGCTAGATTTCTTGGCGGGCTTATTACCAGATTCAGCGTCTCGTCTACAAAAGACATTTTAGTTAATTTAACTATCTTCAAAGGCGGGCTCTAAATACTTACGCCAAGCGCTCGTCTTGCTTTTGCAACGATATCGCCTTCTCCACATCTAATTTAGGCTTTTTGTTTAGAACGCTCTTGATGAGATCCAAATTGGCCTCCTTTTCGGGCTGATCTGCGATATGCGATTGCTTGCGCTTGGCACCAGGTATCAACTCCTTTACGCCCAAACCTCTCGCCTCCCTTTCTTTGGGCAGCTTGTTTTGGAATTTGCCAACCGATGCTGTCGATGACTTGGCCACTGTTACGGCCGTAAGCAGTTGACTTGATGTTGCAGCTTCAGGTCCCAGATATCCACTGCGTGGCATTTCGATCTTTTTTGCACGCACAATGTTTTTCATACGCTGTATCTCATTCTTGGCCACCTTCTCGTTACGCAGGTCCATCTTCTTTTGGAACATATCGGTGTTAGGATCAACATTTTGGGGAACTTCCAGGACCCAATCTTTATTCTGCTCAGCCTCTGCGCGTTTAAAGCCATACGTGGGCACCCATTTCTGCAAAAATACATAATAAATTAGACCCTGCTTTGTAGTAAATTTACTGCACGTACATCCAGCACTTCGTCGTAGGTTTTTTTCTCCTTTTTCTTCTTAGTGATGCCCTTCTCCTTAGCAAACTTCTCCCACTTTGTCAGCACACGTGGACCAGGCGGCTTACGCATACGCGGCAGCACTGTCGTCGGCTCTGGCAACTTGGCTACAATGCTCTCATCCACGCGCTCTGTGTTCAGCTCCCAGATGGCGTTCACCAGCAGCTGAGTGTTGTCGCGGGTTAGTGCACGCAGGTAGTTTTCCTTTTCAGCACTAGTGAAGTAGATTTCATTGATATTAGGAACGGTTCAACAAATGACCCACCTGTCTCTTACCTGGCAATCTGCCGGTCATCCAAATCATTAGGATCTGTGATAAGTAAGGTACCCACATCAAGACGGCATTCCAGATGTTTTTCGACTGTGATTGGTTTATATTTATCCAACTCTTTCCTATGCTTCTCCAAAACTTCCTGTACTACATCCATTTTGTGCAAAAGATTGTTCCAAACAAAGTCGAATAATACACGTGCGCCTGCCCACCGCTTACAACACTGGCACTTAGAGAAGTGTTGTTCAGAATAAATAAATTGAACTGAACCTGGGATTCAAATGAACTACTAATTTGGTTCCATAATGTGTTGTTTTTATGTCGCCAGAACGCGTTATTCCGGATATTTGTAATAAACTATGATCAAAAACATTTTTTTTTTGGATTAATTGAAATTGTAATTATTTCATTGATAAATCCATTCTTGAAATAATTATATCAGAACTGGGCCAAAATAATATACGAATAGAATCACAATTTTAATTCACTATTCACATATTGGTAACTTTAAGGGCCAGAGGCAATGTCATTGTGAAGGTTGCTATTTTTATGAAAGAAATATTTCACAAAATAATTGATGATGAAAGAATAAATAACAATCTAAGTTCATTTTATTGAATTGACTCTGAAGACAACAAACTATGAACTGTGGATATTATTGTTTTCTACAGTACGGTCACACTGCGTATGGCAAGGGGACAGAGACCAAAACAATTACGAAAATAGGCTAAAAGAAAACGTGAAAATTTATGAAAAACTGTGAAAATTGTGTGTGGCGCATTGAAAATGGTGCTAAGATCGGGAATTATTATTCCCTTTCAGTTTCGTGATACCAAGAAGTTGCTAATGATAGGTGTGCCCGAAGAAAATAGAAACCTCAACATCTGGGACTTGAAGAATGTTGGTAAGCGTTGGACGCACGTTGGTTTACTTTGCTGCCACAGTGCAGGTCATAAAATTTAATTGCCTTCAAGTGTGTATAAAGAGGACCCGCACCCCTGAAATTGAGTGGAGCCTGTATCTCCATATTGGGAGTTTATAATTAATATGAAAATATTGAAGATTTCTCGTCTGTATATTTCAGTGCGTGCCGCCTTTGGCATATACAACTTTGAATTCCGGAACAAAAAAATTGGCTTTAACATACCCGACGAACTGCTGCTCCACTACCTGGCGCAACGACACGATCTTACCAATTTCGTTATAGAAATCAGTCAAGGTAAATATGAAGGTGGTAGGCACCCTAAACATAAGTTAGCAACGTTTTAGATTTTAAGAAAAAGTGCTCGGGGTCAAGCTTTTGATGCCCAGTTTGTGTGTGTGTGACTGCAACCCTCCACCCATCCATATTAAGAATACAAAAGAAAAGTGTGTACATAAATATATAGACGCGGCACATGTGTTTCGCTTGTAAGTCTCTGCGATTATTCACTGTAATAAAATCAAATTGTAAAATGCTTTATTTTTACAGCTCTCGACGATGGCCATGCCAAGGAGATGCTCTCCTATGAGCCATCCTGCTCGATGGCGGCGCTGAAGCAACATCATGTGCCACTACCGCAGCGTTCTAGTGAGAGCTCAGCACACGACTATGTTGGCGGTGGAGCTCCCTGTCCCACATCACAGCCCAATTCCCCAGCGCTCGCCGTTTGCCATGAACCAGCTGATTCACCGTTGGAACACACAAACAATTCCTCGGATCGTGTTAGTATTGCGGACTCCACTCATAAGTTGCGTCTAACACAAGTCTATGAGGAACGCACGCCAGAGTCACTTACGCAATCCATAGATCCCATGGATATAATACCTAAGGCAGAAAGCGAGTCAGAGGCAGACCGCGCAGCGCGTGCTGCACGTTATCAGATGCGGCAGGAACAACAACATCATCAACAGCAACAAGCGGCGGTGCAGGCGCACGTCGCAATGCAACACACTTTACCACCTCAGCAGTTCTTCCCCAATTATACACATAGCCTATTAGGCGGCTCAGTACCCTCGGCGACGAGTACGCCCATGAATGCACCAAATACACAACAGCCGCCGTACACGCCCGGTCTAATGAGTCGATTTCGAAGTGAGTAGCAAGAATATGAACACAAGAAAACGTTTTTGGTAAATTCCAAAATAAATTATATTTTAGAGCGAGGCGAACGCATGTCCAAGGATCAGAAGGAATTGTATGTAAAATTTTTTGAGGATAATCCCTGCATGTTGTCCAATCATCGACGGCATGATGGTCTAACAGAACCATTATGGGCCAAGCTAGCGCACATGTTGAACAGCGTGCCGCAGGGCGCGGTCAAGAATGTTGAGGATTGGAAACAGACCTTTGATGCTTGGCGCTATCGTATATTCATGTACACGCGCTACAACTCTAAGTTGAGCATGGCGGAAACCACCGATCCGAAGAATTACAAGCCTCTCACAGCCACTGATCAGAAAGCCTATGCCATGTGGACGAGTCATAAGCAGATAACGCCACAGGATTATGATAAAATGGAGATGTTTGTGCCTCTGGACGAATCGACGACAGCCACAACGAATTACGACTATTGAGCAAACACCATGCTGTGTACCAACGATAAACCCAAGCCCACTGCAGCAGACCAGTGCAAATTAACACGATGATAATGATGATGTGTACTTTAATTATAGTTAAGAGAAAAATACATATTGTTTAAGTACCATAAACTGTTGCGTTTTGTGTATCAGCTCTGTAGCTCCATTTAAAGTAATTTGATATAACCATCTTAATCATAATCTTTTTATACTTGCAGTTTACGATGCAGCGTTGGACAGCTACGTGATGCATCCACAGTGTCGTTGTGGTGCGCAGAAATTAATCAACGAATCGCCCACGCCCGAGCCTACAAATTTGTGCCAGCAACCGAATGCCATAGAAGCGCCGAGTAGTGCCTCAGCCGTTGCTCTGCCATCTTGCGATGATGACGAAGAGCAGGACGCCATGAAATTTCGCATTGATAAGGCAGGTAGCACTAATTCAGCGGATCTACCGATGCCAGCCTATGAGACCTGCAATCCAAAAATGGACTATGACACACAGGATGAGTTGCCGGACTCTCCGCACTCGCAGCATCATCTCCAGCAACCGCAACCACCACCGCTTCCACCACTCCATCATGCTGAAGAGGAGCGTCTACAGCATGAGTTCATGGTGCAGCAACAGCAGCAACACCATTATCTGCAACAGCAGCAACATTTGGCGATGTTGCAACAACAGGAGCAGCAACAGCAGCACCAACAACAACATAGTTTGCCCATTGCACCTCCAAGTACCAACAATATAAGACGTATGTATAATTCAACTGTTATAATCAGGTTACTTTAAACTCAATCCAAAATATTGCAGAACGTAAGGAACGCATGTCGAAACGCCAGAAGGAGCTGTACGTGCACTTTTTGCAGCAGCATCAATTCATCAACGATCATCGCCGCAACGATCCGGTTTTAGATCCCTACTGGCTAAAGCTCGCCAATTTGCTCAATGCTGTGCCGCAGGGCGCTGTCAAGCATGTGACTGAATGGAAGCAAACCTTTGACAATTGGCGCTATCGTATCTTTCTTTATGCACGCTACAACTCCAAATTGCAGGACGATGAGGCGCAAAACCCACGCAACTGCAAACCGCTCACACGCACCGACAAACAGGCCTATAATATCTGGATACGAAATCCAGACACCGCGCCACCTGACCTAGACAAAATGCGCAATGTCTTTATTAATTTGGAGGACACTACGCAGCAGGACTAAAAGAATACGCTTGCGAAAATTGCCATTTTAGTAGACAAAATTGGTACACATACAATAATTGTTTCCCCGTGTTTTTTGTGTTTTTAAGTGCATTTCCTCCTGCTCTTGCCAATTAGGTTAGTTTCAAATATTTGCTGATCTTGCGTTCTATGTGCCGAAAAAATTGCTTACATTTCCGTTAGTCCGTTTGTCTTCTTGAAACCTTTTTAATATGCAAATGATGTATAACATTTATATTTCTTAAAAAAAAAAACTGCAAATATTTGAAATTATTAAATAAGTTGAAAATGTTTTTATCATCAAGCATTGCTTTTTAATATTTGAAAATTCTGAGAAATTATCTTTCGTTGAATTACGGCCATGAAATGTTTGCGAGGCATACAGAGAAATGATCCTTTTAAATTATTGGAAAGAGCAGTTGAGCTTCGGTGCGCCGAAGATGTCGTTTTTTCTGGTTTTTTCTTTGTTATTTTTTAATATGTATTCATATTAAATGAAGAGTTTTTACTTGTATGCAGCGGCTTTCGTTTTCGGGGGCGTTCTGCTCGCACTTGTTATGGTCAAAGGAGATTGCTGCCGTTTTTTATTCGTACACGCATTTGTATGTACATAAGAGTGTATTATTCGAGTGCAAGTTCATTCGCTTCAGTTTGAATATTTGCATAAGTCAAAAATTAACATTGTTGATGAACGAAAACAATGTGTGGACCAGTCGTAAGTTTATACGATATTGCTCGTATTTGTACAAGTCATGAAAGTGTTTGTTACATATTATTTATAGTCGAATTAGCCAATTTCGGGTTCGGCACAATAGAATGTCTGTGTTTTGCCCAACCCCATCGGAATGGCTGACATACCTATTGCATGTATTGTGTGTATATACTATATATTTATCTGGAGTCTGGTTTCTCAATCTGTTGCCTGACACCCCTCCACCCCCGTTCGTTGCGTTGATTAATTTGTTGCCAGCGGCAAATCGAATCGGTATCTATATATGTATCTATTATCCCCTACACATTAATAATATTTATGCATAAAAGTGTACGCTCAATCAAATGTGATACGCTCTTTGATTTTTGCTCCACACGTGCCATGCTGTAGACTTTTGATTCTATTCTATTGCTATCTGGAACTCGACTAATTCGTTCTTCTGCAATTTGTTTCACATTTTCTTTAATTACCCTTTGCCGATTGATACAAATTTACAATGCATTGGTGGATTTATTAGCTGGCTTTTGACTCTATTATAATTTCTTATAATATATTGCCTATAATTGTGTGCAATTTGTGCAAAACGGCGAAATAGTACGAGTACTCGTATGCAAAGTGCGGGCTCCGCAATTGAGAAATCGTGTTTATAAATCTATCAGAAATGTGTTACATAAATTATTAATTTAAATGCACGTATCAGCATTAAGAGATATTACAAATGAATTGTAAACTGTTGAGGTGTCTCCCTCCCAGTTCGCCTTTTATCTGTGCCTCCCTTCTACCAATTGCCTTTTCTAATAAAGATAAATGAACATTTGATCATTAAATCTGCTGGAGACGTTGAGTCGAGGTATTGCCTCGCGACTCGACTCGACTCGACTCGACTTGTCTTGACTTGTGGGCAGCGGCTTGTTGTGGCCAAGCTGTCGTTGTCTCTGTCATGGCATATCTGTAGCATTCAGTCAAGCGTTCAAGATCAATATTCAATATTATATATAGTGCGCGTCCTACCCCGCCTCTCACATAGGCCGCGTTATTTGACAAGCTCCGCAAGGTGGCAGTGGCATAAAATATGACAACTGGGGGCCGGGTAGGGAAACAAATTAACGCGTGGTAGCCGCCAAATGACTTGTTACTCGTGTTTGTATAAAAAACCTACTGAGAAACAACTTTATATAGACGGGCATATGTATATACTTATAAATATATGTAGATGGAGGGCCAATTACCCGACATCAGTCATATCTGTTTTCCACGCACTTAATCGACGTTTATCAGCTGCAGTTATGGTAACAGATGTACTTTTTAATTCATTGCATTAGCAGTCGAGTAATTGTGGCAAAAACACCACATTATCGATTTTTAATTAGCCATAATTTTCAATAAACATTTCTTTATACATATTCATGATCATGAAAGATAAGAACTTGCTAGAGTTTCTTTGGAATTGCATTAAATTTTTGTTTGGATTGTGAAGGAACCATACTTTCACTCAGAAAAGTTTGAATATTGAATATATACTGAATATATATGAAAATGTTTACCCTTTAGGTACAAAGTATAGTTTGATATAATCGTCTTGATGTTCCATTTACTTTAACGCTAATTTATCAAGAACTAATTATAACCGCTACTAAATAAAATTTGAATCTATGAATTAATAGGTAAAGCAAGTGGAACATATAAGCCGTACTAGCCCGACTTTGAAGTTCCTGTACCCAGCCTTACATTATTGTGCGAATCTTTTACTATGGAATATGATATAGTAATATCTGCTGGAAATCCATCATATCAGAAAAGTAATATCTGATTAGATAGCTACCAAAAAAACAGTACGACATCAGTCTAGTACTTAGACAGTAAACAATACTAGTTTATCAAATTATATTATAAGGCGACACTCTTATTCCTATTGGATTTTAAAAATATACCACTTTACAAGGTTGTTTGTCATGATCGCAAAAAATAAACGATTTATGAAGAGCTTTTATAAAACGAATAACAAGATATACGTAAGTATATTTTTAAGCTTTCAGGTTAATAAATACTTTTATCGCACGCACACATTGCATATTGCATTAAGCTTGAAATATATTTTTAAATTGTATTTTTATAAATTGACGTACATGCTGAGTTTTGCTTCAATTTGTTACATTTATTATATTATTAGCATAGTATATATATATATTTTTTTTTGCATTCCTTGCGCAAACTTCTACCTCATCGCTCACTTCCAAAATAATCCCACACTCTACTGCAAAATTAAACCAGCCTCCTGTCGAATCCACAAATTCGTCAGATCAATCATACAGACAAAAATGCAGTTTACAGCATCTAAACGCGATAAAAGAAAAAACAACAACGAAATTCACAAATCCGATAAGATCAGACATCAGACCAGTTTATCCAGCAACTAAAAGAGACTTCAGTCAACGGTTGTTGCAGGCCTCTTAGGCTTAAATCTGTTGACTTTGCATGACGCATACGAGTATGCCTGTGCTACCCAATTGCCAAGTCTGGTGTATATGCTAATCGATCGTTAGGTTGATTGATATGGATTTTACATTACATTTACATTAATTATCGTCCGTTTAATTAAGCAGAACTACTTGCAGGCGGTCGTGTTGATTTCCTTTTGTTCATAACTTCAATTACATTTTCGGACAGTATCTCGAAATGCATGTCAGTTAATTTATCCGAGAGTTGCAAATAAATTCAACTTCTGCATACTGATGACAAAGAATATCATTAAAGTTCTTGAACTGATTTAAATGCAGATGCATAATTTATATTAAATTAATACCCGTAAAGATAAAAACGGTCGCGCTTTTGGAATTAATTTGCGGACGGCTAAGGCCTGCTGTTTCGCATTTTTAGGCAGTCATTAATGAACTTTACTTGTACCTGATTTCTGTGGAAGTCAATAAATATATCTGCATGCGTTTGCATTCTTACGGCCATAAAATAATTCAATTGACGGCTGACAAAGTGTACGGAGCGTACAACATGTTATTTTTCACGCTTTTTTCTGCTGAGAATTAACGCCGATCCATGCTATGAAAAATGTTTGATTTATAAATCCTTAGTTTTTGCGCAAAGAGTCGTCCAACTCGTAAGGCTTTGTGAAATCGCGTGCAAATTTTTTTATTCAATAATGACATGCAAAGCACTTGTATTAATCTAAGAAACAAATTAATAATATTAATTAGTTTTCCGAGCAAAGAAGCAATAGCCTGCCTGGTATGGTCGATATCCTGTTAATATCGCCAAATTCTTGGGCCAGTTATGTTAATATAAATACATGAGCTCATTAAACGTAAATAAAATCAGAAATTTGACAAACGATGAACAAGATTTTAACACATAAAAAATTGTTTTCGCATGCACAACGATTAAATGCAGCAAAAAACCGTACGCATATTTATTTTTGGTTTTTGGTCCAATAATTAATAATAATATTGAATAGAGAAACATCATAAAAAAAATTATAATAATATAAAAATAATAATATAATATGTAAAAGGATACATTAAAATGTAAATATTAAAAGTAGAAGAAAATTTTGTTTTTTACTTAAAAATTAAAACAAATAATAAATTTAAAATAATTCACAAAAAAATATAATACAAAAAATTGTATTATAGTCTATGAGTGGATCAGAGTAGATATATTGAACAGTCCGGTGGGCAATGCATACAAATTTTTTAGCTAATATTTAAATATAGTTTTGATTTCTGATTTCTTATTGAAAACATGGCACTGCAATTGAATTGAACTAAAACTTCTCTTAGTTCTGGGCTGGGTCTTAAACAATTTGTATGGATTTGTGTTATAGTTATATTTTTCTATATTTCTTAAATAAAACGCTTCCACGCTTAAATATTTTTAATTGTTACTCTCCACTTAATGCATAATTTGTCTGTGTTAAATGTGGCTGAAGTTGAACCAGATTCACGATAAACATTTTTAGGAAAACCTTTCTAACCTCTGACCTTGTTAATACTACTTCAATACTTCCCATTCTCCTCTGCTTCCAAAAAGCATTAGTTTTGTTTGATATTTCAACACCATTTTTGATGATTTTTTATTCAATTGCAACACTTCAATTTAAGTTAGAAATAAACATGAATAGAGTAACTGGCAGGAAGTCGGGTTAAACTGTAAAATATATATTATATACTGTATTTTGCATAAATATTATTTATATATTATTGCGTTATATTGCCATGCCCGGACTCACTTCTCAATGGTCAGGTGCACATTAGCGGAGGGGTGCAGTCCGATCTCCTTAAGGGTTGCATTGTTGTGCTCAGCCTCGAGGGAAATGCGTGGAAAAGCGCATATAAGTTGATAGTTTTCTAAGGGTATGTGGCTGTAGATCTCGCTTATGTACAGACGCAAAGTCTGGAGTTTCGTGTCCGATGGCCAACGGAGAAGGACCACCTCATCGCAGCCTACGGCATTGAAGAGGCGCAGCTTCAATGTTGTCAGCTCATCCCTGAGTTCTCCCAATTGAGTTTCATAGGTAATTGGCTTTGACTTTGGCTTCTCATCCACCTCTTCCGATTCATCGATAGTGTCGCTATCGGTGTCACTCAACTCTATGTTGTGGCTGGTGCCATCATCGCCATCATTCTCGTTATAGGAGTTCATGACGCTCAGCCTTAACTGATGATTCTCGTTCGAATCCGCGATCTTTGAGCGCTTCGTGGGCATGCTACATGTGCGGCCTACGGAGGATGTGGCTTCAGCATCCTCTTTTTCTTCGTCTTCTTCCATTGGTCCTGCAGCGCGCTTCAATGTGGTTGTAAAGTTTCCATGCAAAGACAGAAACTGCTTTAGATCGGGCAGCACGCTCTCCCTGTTGGGCTGACTGCTCCACATTTCTTCGCCGGTGCGCGGATCTATAACACATAGGTACGGCATTTTCTTGCAGTGGTAGAAGTTGATGAAGCGTCGCCCTTCGTAGCTATCCTTTTCCACCTCCCAGAGTGTGAATTGGCGACGTACCAGTTTTTTTAGTTCCTTGCTTGACCATAGTTCCCGACTCACAAGCCGCGACTGAATGTTGTCGGCTTGCACGCTGACCAGCACCCAGCGGCGATGCATGTTGGCACTCGTCCGAGCCTCAGTCAAAGAATCAAAGTATGGTATGTCGGTTGGTGGACGAAATAACCGTCTAAGCAGGGAGGTGGTCTCCGATGTGTAGTTGATGCGACTAAGCGCCTCAATGGGCTGGTCTGCAAGTATCAACGGATCCTCAACATTGCTTGCGCTTGTAGACGGTTGATCGGACAAAAACACGTTTGAAACTTGGGGAGCTGATAGTCCTGTGCCGCCATTTAAGTCCACTGGTGTTAAAACACTGCCCTCACTAGAAGACGAGGAGGTTTCGTTTCCCCAATATAGAGCCACTGCAGCTTCGACATCGTTGTCGCAGGCAACCAAATAGTATTTTGCCTCCACCTCGGTGCAAGCAGTCACCTCTACCAAGCGTTCCACGAGCTCCCTATTGTCGTCGTTGTTCTCTGAAGCCATATTTTCTGACATTGCTCTGTAATTGGCCAACGGAGGGACGTACTCAATTTTTTACGGACGATTAAACGAACACGAAATTTGTAATGTAGAAAATAGTTTTGCATTCCTTTCAATACCAATCGTCAGTCAGTTTAGTTTGAAAGCTACAAAAGTGCAAAGCACTCTATGTTTTCGGGAATGTTGTTTTTACTGAAGCTCCAAAGCTTGCCATGAAAAGTACAAGATAAACAAGCACTGTGCACATTGTATGCTAGTCATCCAACGTAGATCTTAAGAATAATTAAAAAAATAACAATAAAATACTTTTGTATTTTATTCCTATTTATTTTATTCTTATTCTAGAAAGATTTGACACAGCAAGCATTCCCGTTATTCTATCGCTATGCTTCGTTATCGATATATTGGAAATAAAAAACCCTTGCCCTTTTTCGTTTTAAGTTGGCAGGACGACCATTTTAAGAAGTAGAATAGCAAAAAAACATACTCATTAATTTTTTTAAATTTTCTAAAAACAGGTTCCCGTCCCACTTTATTACAGATCTAACTTACTTATTTTTAATCAACGTTATAAAGTACAGCAACATTTCAGGCACAAGACGGAAGTTATTGGCCCTAGCAACATGTTGCTGCAACACCGAATGCGCTGCATATGGGCATGCATATTTTAACGTAGACACACCAACAAACATACATACATATGAACATGTATGTAAGTGCCCAGGCGGCCCACTCGGCTCCGACCCGAAGTCGAGTCGTGTCGCTTAACAGCTGATCAGCTAGTAGCCGATCGTGATGCGGCCGCAAAGCGGGAGACTTGCTGCTGATGCCTCCACAGTCGTTGCTTTCAGTGCGGCTCGTGTCTTCAACGTGTTTTGTCACGCTATTTTACGCTCTTGTGGCGTTGACGTCGTCCAATAATCAACAGTGAGACTGCGGTACCAGCAACGTATGTGCAGTGACAACTATTTAAGCAATCCTCCACTTTGGTTCATAGTGCAAAAAGTTTAATACTAAAAGGAAAAATACGTATTAAGGCAATAAATTAAATTAAGGCAAATAATTAAATGCTATGCGACAGACACGTGAATCTTTAAAGTGCAATTGAATAAGAAAAATAGTGGCATTTTATTAAATGCGCAATGCACACAGAAAAGCCTATTAAACTAAAGAAAAGCAAGCAATACAAATGGTTTGATAATAATAAAAAGTGAACCACAAACAAAAATAAAAAGCCAAAAAAGGAAAACAAAAAACTTGGGCAACGAACTTGCGTGCAACAATTTATCGCCTGCGGGCAACACATACTACACTATAGCCTGGCGCGCTCTGGTCTGGTTGTCACAGCCGCCACCACCTCAATATGTTACCCAGCATATGCAAATAATAAATCAAAAGTCATTCACACACACACACCGTCCCCATTCTTTGATCTGTCGGCATTTGCATGCCACAATAAGGAGAAGGAGTTGCACGCACAAAATTGTTTATTAATTTGCTTAAATATTTCTTGGCCAGCAGCAAAGAAAATGTTTTGAAAACGTTTTCAAAATGCTTCATAAATCACACGTTATCTCTTTTTTTTTGGCTTGCCTTTCTGCACCTCAGAGGTGGAAACCAAAAAAAAAAAGGAAGGGAAATGTCCGACACGAAAACTAATTTTGTTAAAATTGTTCGACGTTAATCGCTCTTTCAAATGCATAAAAACTTTGAAATTAGTTTTGAAATATGGGCGTATTTTTTTAAAGTACCTACATATGTGCTTTTTATTTGCCGGAAACATATTTCCAGCGACTTGGATAAGTGCAAGTAGTTAGGGGCACCATAAAGTACCTTAATTAATTTACATACCATGATTTATGCTCCTTAATGAGCTTTGTAATTTATTGTGTGTGTATTTGGGCGTCTTTTACATACAATTTATATTTTGGTAAACTGCTAAGATAAAAAAACAAACAGTGTAAATCATAATGGCGGCACTAAGGAAGAAGTATGAGGTCAGATTACTTTTTTTCAGCCTAGAATAGAAATGTAATATCAAAGTTTTGTTAAATTGGTGAGGAAGAAATACAAGATTCCAAAATATAGTTACATTTGTCTACTCATTCATATCTGATCAATATTTATTTAGAACAAGTAATGCAATTACAATCATAGCGTGACAAATTTAAATTTAAACAAGCACATGCGGCTTTATTTCACTTGAAAAAATTAACATTTAAATTTAAAGCTCAAATTATAAATGATTTTGTGGTTTTTGCATTTTCCTTTTATATGTAAAGCTGTTATAATTTACTTATCAAAAATTTAATTTACAATCCTTAATAAACTATACAAATTATTGAGTTTTATAGTTGAAAACTGATATAAAATTAGAATTTTAATAACGCGCATGAAAACTATTTAAGTGTTGTGATATGTGCAATTTGGAAGCCATTTGACAATTCATTCTTTTCCATTCAAATGATTGACTTGCAACTTGCAACAACTGTAAACCAATTTTTTGCGATATTCGTCAATAATTACTTTTCGCATTGCACGTATGAGATAAAATGCATGTTAAACACTCAACTCAGCACGTTAACACATTTTATACTTTTTCAATTTACGTAATTCAGAATCAGAATGGTCCTCGATGAGGCCAAGTTGTATTTCATTCATAAGCATTATAGTATAAAACAAAAAAAGAAACAGGCGATATTAAGGTTTTAGCCCAAGATTTGCTTTCTGAATAGTCACGTCTGCTTGTACAGATTTGTAATCATTACATGGCCATTACTTCAGTTAGCTACATTGTCACGTACGTGCTCGTATATATGTATGTATGTACGTACTACTAGCACAATATATATAAATAAGTATATATATATAGTATATGTGTGTGTGACTAGATATTCATGACATGGTCGGCATTCACTTCAGTTTTAAAGTTTCTGCACATGCTGCTGCTTTAAATTTACGACCCTAAATCAAAGACTTGAGTTGCAATTAAAATGCGTGGCATGTTCACACATTTGGCTTTTGCGACACTGAATGACCAAAACTAAAACAATTTAAATTTACTCGCATTTAAATTGACTACGCATGCACCACCACCACTACCACTAGCACCACCACCATCAGCCTGCCCACCTCTCTACAATCCTTCATCCGACATGTTCATTGACGCTGCTGGCGAGCATGGAAAGAAAATGGCATTCGCTCGCATATTGGCAATACCAACAACGAGGCGGTCCAAAAGGTGTGACTAGGTCATCGTGTTAAGAGCCAAACTGGTGTGCCAGCCAAATAGCCAGCCAGCCAGCCAGCCTGTTTCATTTGCCAAAGACTTGTTATCAGTTTGCCGACCATTTCGAGAGCCAGTCTTTGAACTCGTATGTGTTTAGATTTTAATTCATTTAATTGACGGCAATTGTCACATCAAAGTGCGGCGGCGCCAATGGGCCAGGCTTGTCACGCTCACCACGGGGCCACTAGGGTCCAGTCAATGCAAAATTGCATAATTGCCATTTGATATTATTGTGTTAAATCTGATTTTGTATATTGTCGCGCTCAACGTAATAAAAGCAAACGTCGATCGACACGTCATTTAATACGCCGGCAATGGAGCATCTAAAATTACACACCGTGTGTGTCCACACACACACACACTTACACCCCATATAAAACAATACAAACTATTAATAGTGATTTTAAAAATGCCCAGCTAGAGGACAACCACAAATTTTTCAGTTGAAATTAAAGTGTAAATCGGTTAACGTAAACGGTTTTCAAACTCGAAGGCTTCGAAAGTGATTGTTCAACAAATTGCAAATAATATTATTCCCAATATATTTACAGCAAATCGGCTTAAAAGTATTCATTTACAAATAACATTAAATAATAAAAGTAATAAAAAACACAATAATAAATAAAAATGGTAAGTGTTCAAATCAAGTATACGTACATATACTATAATACTAAACTGTTGCATCATCGCTTTATATTTGCTTCTGAATGTAAACAAATGTCAACGTTTTCAATCAGACAAATATCATAAAACACCTAGTTTTTTTGTTTTAATAATACTGAGAGCATCTCTCAAAAATGGAGCACGCGCAAGCACGTGAATGTCTCTGCAATTTTAGTCAGGGGGGAATGCCTCGCTTCTGTAATTATGCAAAACAAATTTACGAATAATTTAAAAGAACAATTACACTCGAGCAAAAATATAAGACTTTACCTTCCTTAAATCAATTTTTATTTATTCTGAAATGTAATTGTATGCAGATTTGTAAGCATATACTTGTAGAATATATTTTCTTTGCTTTGCAATTCACGTTGACTTTATTTGACTGGTTTTTAATTTAGTTTGTCTTATATTTTCTACATACTGTTTGGATATATACATATAAATCCCTGCATATCTATTTCAAAAGCAAATGTAGCACATGAAAATATATTTAAAATATAATCATAAGATAGCGAGATGGAACACTGCATTCCTTTATGATACGAGAAAATTTAGATAAACGTTCAGATTTAGGATAGTATAAATATAATAAAAAGTTGTAGAATGAAAGCAAATTAGTTTTACATGGGCCGATTTTTCTAGTTCATGGTAACATCTGCATTTATTCAAATTGTTGTTCATTTTTGATGCTGACAATATATTAGTATTAAAAGAACTTATATCTTATGACTTTTGTAGAGTCCATTTTCTTATTCTATTTACTTTTAAAAATATTTTGTGAGCGTACATTTCAAAAAATTCGAAATCACATAAGAAATTAAAAATTGATCACAAATCACAGATAAGTCAATGGGTTCCCATAAAATGTACTTAAAGTACGTAATCATCATAATACTAATCACATTTTGTTTATAAACATGTACATATTTACAAATGAATGCATATGTGTGTGTGTGTGTGTGTGTACTAAAAAAAACAATAAAGCAATTGACAAAGGCATTGACCTACAATGTGAGCTGTCAATTTGTTTATTGTTTTATTTTACAATTGTTTGCAGTATTCTCGGTTTGTTGCGTTTGTTATTAACGTGTGGTTTACCGTTTTACAATGCCAGACTTCTTGTCGCGCACACACATATATATATATATATCAATTATTGACAACTCAGCAGTGTCGCAAGTTTGTGCCTTAAGTCATTTGTTTTGTGATGCGTGCACCGGAAATGTGTTGTACCAACAAATTTGTGTTTTGTTTAAACATTTTCGCATTGTGAAATCAGCGTCATTAATTGCCAAAAACAAAAAATAGCAACAATTTATAAAATATTTGTGCAACATCATTTGGTCGGCATTGGTCATTAAATGATTTCTGCGGCTTTAACATAAAGCTGCACAAATATCACCCGCAGAGTGTCTGCTAATCTCCACAACATGTGCAATTTTAATCTTCTTCAGTTCGTGTTTCCTTAAGCCGTGAACTTCATGATGAGTAGCAGGTATATACTATATTATACGGAAGTGCTGAAGCAGCAGATAAGGTATATTTTTTTCCTACATATCTCTGACAGATGATGAAATTTGTAATGCAATTTTAGTCCGAGGCTTCTAACGGACAATACTGACCAAGTTTAGAAAGTTCATAAAATTTTTCTGCTTCAAATGCTCATTGTTCTTATATCTTAATAGAAATTTGTGTTCTAATTGCAATCAAATGATTACATGTAGAATCCTAAAATTGACCATGTTAATTTTTATAGATAATATTGGCCTAGAAAAAGGCTTAAGGTCACAATTAATAGAATGCATTTTTGTTAATATATTTCAAACTTTGAGAGCATTTTCAAGCACAAGTAAAAGTTTATATATCTACACAGAGCGAGGCCAATTATTGGATTATATAACATATCAATGAATTATGTCACTAACCTAAAAGCATATTAATGCCATACGAGATTTAATTATGCCAATCACAATCCTAACATAGTGCATATGAAATAATTAGGTTTATCCAAACAAGCATAAACAAATTTGCAACAAAATGAAACAATTAACCACCAGCTGTGCAAAGGGCTTACATTGATTTTCCTTTCGTCCATCTCTCTAACAATGAAATCTTTGCATAATTACAAAAATACTATATAACAAAAGCTCGAAATCAATAAAATTATGAATTTGCGATCAATAACAACTATTGTTGGCAGTCCATCGGTCAACGGTAGCTCAATGACCCCTGGGCTGCTGGACATGGCAATTCAAAAAGGTACGGTCTTTACTGCCTTACACCCTAAGCATTGTCTTTGGCTATTGTTCAAAAACGAACAAGAGTGGAAAAACAAAAAAAAAACAACAAAAAATCGTGAAACTGAATATATTTCATTTATTTATTTCTTATTTTCACAACATACCAGGGGGCTTTGTAGACAAAAGTTCAAACTGCCAACTGCCTGGCCATTAACTTGTCTGTAACCGCTGATTAGACGCCACCAAAGCTCTTTTAAGGCTGCGTTGCCAGATTTATGATTAGCGGCCAGTTAACTCCCAACAACAATAACAACAACAATGGCAACAACAACAACAAAACAAACGCATTTGTTGCCCTACTAAAAATGCAAGCTATTACGTTTTGAAGGCTTTTGTTGTGAAAAACTATGACGCCCCAAAATGCCACAAATTCAATGAACACAACAACAATACTAATAAGCACTTTTGCGATCGAAGTTTTAAATCAGTGGCCAACAAATCTTCAAATGTTGCAATTTGTTACTCAAAATATGAATGTTAATAATGCCGCCAATTTGAAGCTGCAGATGAGACTACAGTAGGTCCCTCACTCACTCCTCATTCATTATTTAATTATTAATTCATAAATAATAAAATTCACAATTTTTGTGTTAATTTAATTCTGCGTACGCCTCTTGCATGTTTCTCAGACGTTTAGACAAAAATCTACACAATTATGTTGGGAAAAGGTCAAGTTTGTCATCTGAGAACCGCCGCGTGAAGAGATTCACAAATCCCCAAAGTTCGCATAATTCGCATAGTTTTGTGCATCAGACAATGGCCATCGTGTAAATAGAAGCAATCACAAAAGGGCACGCCATTGAGTTATGCTAAGATTGAAGATTTTTTGCACTCCAAGTCTTCATTCCATTAACCCCTTAAGTGAGCTCAGCAGCACTTAAATAAATGTGTAAATATATTTGTGAGTTTCGTCAGTGATGATGTCGAAGATTTTTTTGTGGGGGCATACTTGCTTTAAATTATATATTAAATTCTTCTGCATCTCATGAATAAATATTGCTAAATTGCTATTCGTAGTAGGTATGTCTAGGAAATGCAATAACTTTTCATATGCATACTTAAAAGAAGAATATAATTTCAATGAGAATGTTTGACATCAAATAATTGCCACAAAAGGATATCTTAATATAATTTGGCCAATTTTTCTAATCTTGACGATTGGTTATGCCACTAATATTATTCACTATAAGGAGAGAGATAGAATTTAAAAGTTTTTTAGCCGAAACTTTTACAAAAATAATGAATAAATTGTAGCTACATTTGTCATTATTTTTTAACTGCAATAATTATGTAAAACACTGTTTTATTTAATTTAATGTTTTTGTAAATCTTTAATCTTTATTAAAGATTGAACAATTTAAATTTTGTGATGTCCTTTATTGCTTAGCACATTTTGACCAAATTTTTCATATTCCTATCTTCATATCTTAGAAATATGCTTGTTGGAAAAGATTGTAGTATTTTTATAAAATATTAACCCCTGATCTAAGCTAGGCGCAAAAGTACAATAAATACATTGAAGTAGTATGAGAATAAATTTAAGCAAACCAGATAATTCAGATATTGACACTGTGGGATTTAAATAGTCCCCAGCTTCCCGCAGACACGCCACTGACTGTGCGCATTAATCGCCAGCAATTTGCCAACAAATAATTGAAATCCATATGCGTTATGTCAGATATGGTTGCTTACATTTTTATTGTTTTTTTTTTCTTCTCTCTTTTCTCTCAACATTATTATTGATTGCCAAGCACATTTTTGGCCAGACATTCAACTGATTGACGGGGGAGTTGGCTTCTCCCCGCACCTCACCTGCTGCTATGTGCTTGTTTTGATTGTTTTGCTGCTGACTGATTCGCTTGTTGTTGCAAATCGGCTTGGCTAGCGATTAGTTTTGCCCATATATATACATACATATATTGTTTAGCATTCTTTTGTTGTATATTTCGTTTGTCTGGCTACATTTATTATATTTTATACTTGTGTGTATGTACTTAGAGGCTTGCAAATAGCATGGGAACATTGTGGTAATTAATCAAAGTGCATAATCATTCTTTTTTTTGGCAATTTATTTGTTTGTTTAACAATTCACATTTGTTTGAGCATGCAAATTTTTAAATGATGACCAGTTGCATTTAAATCAATTGATTAAAAACAATAAATGCTCAGATGATTCGAGAGGAAATCAAAATGGCACTCTTATGTAAATTTTACAGCGGCTTCTGATACACATTATAAATAAATCTTTTATTAATTTCAGTTGACTTGTACACGTGAATGAACTGATGTTTTTTAAGTAGTTGTCGTTTTTAGTGCGTATTCGTTCAAGTTCGCTATTAAAATTAGGCCTACAAAGATGTTCATCATAAATATGTCGATTAGGCTTAACCGGAAATGCTCGAAACACACGTGCTGCCATATTGAGTTTGTGCGTTTGTGTCGGATCATAAATCTTGCGTTCTAGTAACACAATCTCTTGCCATGAAATCCCATTAAATTTACATCTTTATCGCCTCTGGCGCAACAAACAGTGGTAGTTATAACAAAAGTGAACAAAGAAGACATCCGGCAGCTAGTTGAATACAAGTAGTAGAGCTGTAGAGTAATGTAGTAGCAATGGCGGTGCACTGTCCAAGTAACTGACTAACTGAGTAACTGCCTGACTGA